GTATGGTAATCTCTAGGTCCAGCCATGTTGCTGAAAATGGCGTAATTTCATTCCTTTTTTTTGTTTGAGTAGTATTCCATTTGTGTGTGTGTGTGTGTGTGTGTGTGTGTGTGTTTATCCAGTCATCTGTCGATGGCCATTTAGGTTGCTTCCATGTCTTGGCTGTTATAAATAGTGCTACTATGAACATTAAGGTGCATGTATTTTTTCGAATTAGAGTTTTTGTCTTTTCTGGATATATGCCTAGTAGTGGGATTGCTGGATCACATGGTAATTTTATTTTGTTTTTTTGTTAAAAAAATTTTTTTAAAAAACAGCTTTATTGAAGTATAACTGATACACAGAAAACTGTACATATATAATGTGTATATTTTGGTGAGTTTAGACATATGCAGACACCCATGATACCATCACCACAATTAAGAAAATAGACATATCCATCCCCTCCCAAAGTCTCCTTGTATCCCTTTGTGTGTATGTGTATGGTAATAACATTTAACATCAGATCTACCCTCTTAACAAATTTTGAAGTGATTTGTACAGCAGATGGGAGTTTTATAACACACAGTTTCAGTTATGCAGCTAGAATGTAAATTCTAATTTACATTCATTAGATTATGATTGAGGCTGATCATATCTTCAAATTTTAAAAGGCTTTGCAGTTTTTCCTCTAAATTCATGTCTTTACATAGTTTTTTTATCATGTTGTTGATAGTTTTCCTATTGATCTGTGGGCAGTGCATATTTTAAGAAAATTAGCTTATTGGCATTATTTTTCTTCAATTTTTAAAAGTGACTTGATATTTGTATATATTGTGAAATGATCATTACAGTAAGTCTAGTTAATATCTGTCATCCTACATAGTTACAACACAGTTTTTGTTTGTTAACCTTTTTTTTTTTGAGGTATAGTCAGTTTACTGCGTTGTGTCAGTTTCTGGTATATAGAATAATGTTTCCTTTTCATATTCTTTTCATTACAGGTTACTATAAGATATTGAATATAGTTCCCTGTGCTATATATAAGGACTTTGCGATTTATCTATTTTATATATAGTAGTTAGTATCTGCAGATCTCACACTCCCAATTTATCCCTTTACCCCCTGGTAACCATAAGTTTGTTCTCTATATCAGTGAGTCTGTTTCTGTTTTGTAAATAAGTTCATTTCTGTCTTTTTGTCTTTTTTAGATTCCACATATAAGTGATATCATATGGTATTTTCATTTCTCTTTCTGGCTTGCTTCACTTAGAATGACAATCTCCAGGTCCATCCATGTTGCTGCAAATGGCATTATTTTATTCCTTTTTATGACTGAGTAGTATTCCATGGTATATTTGTGCCACACCTTCTTTAATCCTTTCATCTGTCAGTGGATGTTTAGGTTGTTTCCATGTCTTAGCTATTGTAAATAGTATGCTCCTCAGTTTTTGGAGCAGAAGCCCCCAGTTCCAGTTCTAATCAGCGGTGTGAAGTAGGTGGGACTGGCATGCTCCCTTTGGGAAAGGAGCTGCTGTGTATTACTCCCCAGGAGCTGTCCACTGGGATGTGTGCTCCGTGATGTTGTTTGTCATCCAGTGTGCAAGCTCACAAAGTACACTGTTGTTGGCACTGCCCTCGACCCCGCCTCCATTGTGGAAATACTGGTAATCCACCCAGATTTCAGCCCACCTCTGCATATGGACAATCCACCAGTGCTTGTGTGCTCCCAGAGGAGAGCTGTGCCCACTGTGAGCATCGGAAAATAGACTGTCATGGTGAGGCCATGCCCCTCCCTTCTCATGTGCATTGACAGTGGGGCTCCTATGGCGGACCTGGGCTTCGTCCTGTGTGCACCCCCAGACCCCAGGTCCTTTGGAGTCTCCATGCAGCCCAACCAAGGCCTCTCCCTGGGTCTGTCTGCTGAAGCCCATGTTTCAGCACCCAGCCACTGCCCATACCAGCAGGTGTGGATCTCAGGCTGGGCAGTGCAGCACAGTGGCCAGTATGGTGTGTTCTGGTCTCTTTCTGTCTTGCTTGCTTCAAGCCAGCTGCTGCACTCTCCTCTGAACCTCTGAAGCTCCCAGTCTGTCTTGACTGACCTCCCAGCTAGTGAAAGGGGTTCGCAGGGTGAGGGAACATTTCCCCTTTCACAGCTCCTTCCCAGGGGCACAGGTCTTGTCCTGATTCCCTTTTTTTTTTTTTTTTTGTCCTACCTGGTTACTTGGTGATCATTTTTTGCAGCTTTGGTTGTATGAGACCTTTTGCTGGTGTTCTGTTTATGTTCTGTGAGAACTGTTCAATATGAGATGTATTTTTGATGTATTCATAGGAGGGGTGAACTCCATGTCCTTTTATTCCACCATCTTGAGCTCTACCCTTCAGTGGATTTTTTTATAAGGAAGTGGCTCCCACGATTATAGAGGCTGACAAGCCCCAGCTCTGCAAGATGAGTGGGCAAGCTGGAGACCCAGAATAGCCAATGGTGCAGTTCCAACCCGACAGCTGGCAGGCTGTGGACCCAGGAAGAGCTGATGTTTCAGTTCGCGTCCAGAGGCAGGAAAAAACTGATATCCCCATTTGAAGGCAGTCAAGCAGGAGGAATTCTCTCTTATTTGGGGCAGGTAGGTGGGGTGGGGAGGATCAGCCTTTTTCTTCTATTCAGTGCCACCCACATCAAGGAGGGCAATCTGCTTTATGCAGTCTACAGATTTAGATGCTAATTTCGTTCAAAAATTCCCTCACAGAAAGAGCCAGAATAATAACTGGGCATCCTGTGGCCCAGTCAAATTGACACACAAAATTAACCATCACAGACAGTAGATACTGTACGACATCCCCTCCCTGAAAGTCAATGCATTTAATTTTGCAGCATGGGCTCCTGGCATGTTGTGTCAGTTTTCTATCACTGCTGTGACAGATTACCATAAATTTGGTGACTTAAAACATTACAAGTTTATCATCTTACAGTTTTGGAGGTCAGAAATGTAAAATACACTGGCAGGGCTACGGTCCTTCTGGAGGCTCTAGGGGAGAATTTGCTGCATTTTCCAGCTTCTGGAGGCAACCTGCCTGCCTTTGCTTCACAAGCCAGCCTTTCTTCAGCTTCTGTTGCAGTGGTCACACCTCCCTCTCTGACTAACCCTTCTTGAAAAAACTTGGTAAAACTCTTGATTATATTGGGCTTATCCAGATAATCCAGGATAGTCTCTCCATCTCAAGACCCTTCATTGAATCAAAGCCGCGAAAGTTCCTTTTGCCATATAAGGTAACATAGTCACAGCTTCCTGGGATTTGGACGTGAATGTATTGGGAGGGAAGGTCATCATTGTGCCTCCCACACATGTCTAATCTCACCTTGGTGTCCGCTTTCTGAAGGATTCAAACTAGCACAGCCACCTTAGCTAAAATACCCTCCTGTGCACGTCTGCAGTACTTTCCCCCACAACACTGACACAAACAAATCTGTTATAACTGCTTCTGTGTTTATGGTCCTGACGGACTGTGGACTCCTTGAGAATATTGTCTTATTCGTGAGTATATTCCTGGTATGCAGCAAAGTGTTTGGCATATTATAGACATTTAATAAATATTTAAGGAATTCTTCCTTGAATAAAGGGCATGGGTTTTTTGCTTTTGTTCTTTTTTAAAAAGCCTTTTGAAAAAATTTGAGAGATTTCTATAGTAGGAATATTGCCATTAAAAGTTTAATGAGGCAAAGTGACTTGAGATTTTCCATCCAGTAGATATTTCCTCCTTTACTGCAAGCCAGATCAGTGTTTTTCCACATAAATACTGTTGATCAGATTGCCTGTTAGCTCTCAAATCCATTTCTCCACTCTTCCCCTGCTCTGCTTCACGGGGAACTACATTTTCTATGCCCCCTCACTTTTTGGTCTCCAGAGAGGCAACAGCAGGAGATCAGAAGGCAGGAAGAGAGAGAAGAAACAGTTATTTCTCACCCTTTGACCCACTCCCCCATTTCTTGCGGTGTCTCTCTGAGTGGCTGTGTCTTCTTTGTCTTCTGGCTTTAGGACTCTGGTCATGCCCCTTCCTGCTGTCCCTTCTGTCTGAGGGGTGGTATCAATTTGTGCTCCTGCCACCCCTGGATTGCCTAACCAGCCATCCCTTATGGATTCTTGCCTTGGTTCCATCACCCATGAAACCAATTCCCTGTGTTCTATTTGAAAGATCCAGAGGTATTTGTGATTTCCCAGTCACACTCTGACTGATACATGTACTAGCAACTTTGAGCAGTACTAGAAATTCTTGGTCTCAAACAACAACAAATGACTACCTTGATTATACCGTGAAATGAATGTTCAGGAATTATGTTTCCCTCTGTCAATTCTATTTAAACTCCACAGACTTTATGACTTATGGTAGAAAATGGAAACTGGCAAAAATTCTATAAATTGAAGTTCTCACTTACCAAGTGAACCAAAGTTCAACAAGATCCAAATATTGTACTTGATAAGAATAGAACCAATTCTCAGAAGTCAGATTTAAATCCTATGCTGATTTAGCTAGATAATTTTTTATGTGGTTTCTATTTTATACAGTTTCTTCCTGAGTTTTGTGTTATTAAGAGGCTCTTTCCTAATTTTTCAAGTAAGTCAGAAAGTCACTCCAGCATAGAAGATGCCTCAGGAGTTAGTATTAAACTTGTTCTTTATTATCTTTGTAGTGTAAGAAAATATAATATCAGATGATACTGAAGTTAGTAGACATTCTGTAGGCCCAGAGAACTGCATACTGTTGAATCTAGAGCTGAAGAGTTAGAATAAATTCATAACAAAAGGCTAAGCATACACACATAAGTACAAGTAGAAACCCTGAAAACTGGGTGGCCAGGGATAATTTAGAGCATAGCAAAGATCTGGGACGTCAGAAAACTGACTTGGAGTGATAGTTATATGGTGAAAAAGGGGGAAAGCTGGAAAATAAAACTTCACTAATAAATATGTATTTCTGAGTTTGTTCCCCTAAGGTTCATAAACAAAAACACATTTACATCAAAAGTGTGTTTCTTTTTCATTTTAATTAAAACAAAATGGTTCTAACAGATGAAATTTGGTTACTGACTTCTATCACACAAAAGGACAGATCTCCAAACCATTTTGTTAATTGGAGAAATGATATTCTAACTGCTGGCCTCACATATCATTTTGGACTGTTTAACATTTGGATAATATCACAAATGAGCGAACGCTTTCCAATATGCTCTTTTAAAATTTTTTTTGGCCGCATTTTATAGATATCAGAATCTGGGATTGGAGGATTTATATGAACTAAGTCTGCTGAAACCATTCGAGGGCTTGTCAATTTCCCATTGTAGCTTTCTCCTCGTTTGTTAACCTCTGGAGCAGTATACGGTCTTACAGAGCGTTTTAACTGATTATGGCTATCATGTGGGCTGTTTCCTAAAAGCCTTGCTCTTGATTTTGCTTTTTCAAGATGCTTAAATGAAGTCTCGGGTAAATCCTCAAATCCATCCAAACAATCCTAAATATTAAAATAAAAGATCAGGTTGGTGAGTTAGTTTTCTTAAAGAGCACATTTTAGGTTTATAAGGACTAAAATTTGTAATATCAACAAAGAAAATGAGAGCATTCGAATGTTTTATAGAAGTCCCCAAATTTAGACCCTACACTCAATGCCTGTCATTAAATACCACAGAAATTATACTTTAAAAAATCTTATTGTTTCAAAGGATATTACTTCAATAGGGATGGAAGACATGAAGCTGGAAACCAGGAAAACTTAGTAAGGGAGCTGACCCCAGGGGTTAGACTCCTAAGCAAAGCCAGCACTCCTATAATTCTCCTCCTCCAAAATCTCTCTTCCTCAACCTCAAATATAAATTATGAATGCTTATATTTTACTTTTTATATCACCCAAACTTCCATTCTTTAAAAGTTAACAAACATCTTCTTTAATATATACTTATACACACATACAGAGCCCAGCATCTAAGAATATGGTTATAATGTTTATATTAAAATATTTTTGTATATAGTCTGAGACTAAGCAAGTAAAACATTTAGGAAAATTGCTGGAAAGATACACACCAAAATAATTTTTTTAAATGATGGTTGTGTTAGGATAGTGAGATTATGGGCTTGGTTTTCTTTCTATTTTTTTTTCAAATTTGTATGACTATTTTATTTAAAAAAAATATAGTCATCTACAAGCACTCATAGGAGGGTATGGAGTTATTAGTCATCTCTCAAATTAATGTAAACTAGTTTCCTCTGCAGTTTGAGCAGCTTGTCCCTTAACACTTTGCAGAGATGGCCACACCAAGGGAAAGGGCCTGCTTTGATTTGGAGAGGAGGTAAAAGTAGATTAATAGAATTGGAGGGTGGGAGGAATTTAGGCAGGACCAAGAAGAATTAGGTTAGCAAGAGAGAAGACTTATCAAAAAGGAAGTGTGAAGGGTCTACATTTTTGCCTGGATTTGCAAGTAAACATTCTTCTTCCCTCTTAAGTACATGGAAGCAATTAGGTAAGCCACAATATTAAGGGAATTTCTGCTACACTGGTGAGTAACATAATTTTTACTTCACAGCTGATATAAATGATAAATAGAGTGCTAGTGGAGGGGTGTGGAGAACCACACCACTGGTTAGTTTTCTGGAAGCTCCTGCAACTCAGTTTCTCTGTCTTCTAACTTGATTGCTTTGGTAGACATCCTGGATTTTTAGAGAATCAGATAAGCAAGTCTTTCTGATGATCTGAAATGTGTCCTTACCCTCAATTCTCTGTTAATTTCACTAGAGAGAATATAGTTTAGGTACTGTTGGTTTAAAAGAGGGAAATAAAGATTATTATCTCCCTTGCCCACTCTTAGGATAAGGGTTCTAAGATCCTTTATGATCCCATACCATATAATATAAACGCAATTTTTTGTTTTGTTTGGAAAAGTGATATTACAGACTCCATTTATCTGAAGAAACTTCAGAAAATCTTTCCTTTCCAGAAATTACGAATCCATCTTCTACTTCCTTTTCTTTGTCTGTACACATGTGCACAAACACATACACTCACTCACTTAATTACTGAATTTAGAAAAGAGAAATTGAAATTGAGACTATATGCTATATTCATATTTATCCTGCTACAAATCTGCTTTACTATTTACTAAAGCTAATAATTTCCTTTACTATGGAAAACAGTTCGAAGCAACTATTCTGAAATTAGATCTATTTTCTTGTTCAGAGGTAGAGTTGTACGCATCAAATTATCAATATAATGTCACTTCAGAATTTGTGACTTTTCCCAACTGTGGGTCATGCCTGTTTATATATACTAATAGAGAAGAGTAGTGATCCAGAAAACTAAAACAAGTCCCTTCCATTCCTAGATTTTAACTTTGTTTTAGAATGCTCTATATAAAGTATGGTAGCAGATTTACCTCCCTAATTGTTTTATGTTAATATTAAAAACAGACATGAATCCCTATGTTTCTCAGCACAGGATATGGCAGAGGGGTGGTGGTGAAAGAAGAAAAGAGTAGAAGTTAAACTGAAATTTTGCAATTCTTAATTCAATAGATTGTGAATTTTGCATATCTCTAATGCTTAGCAGAATAACTGGCACATAATAAGTGCTTCATATTTGTTTCCTGAAACAAAGGTAATTCAGCTATCTGAAAAAAAGACTTTCTACTTCTACCTGCATGAAAAGAAAACCCCAGTATACTTTTCATAGTATACAGCCACTGCAAGTGGTTGTACAAGTCGTGCCTGTGCAACAGCTCCGGCTGAGTCAGGGCTAGAAGTAGCCAGTTTTCCACAGACAGAGCTGTGTGCCCTATCCAGGCTGTCTCAGCCTGCAGTCTGCCCGGAGCAAAGAGTGCTTTTTTCTAATTCATGTTCCAGAGGGGGTCCCCTTTATTTAATACAAAGGCACAGAATGTGTTAATAATCCCTTTGATTTTCTGATCGCATTTTGAATGAGGTGAAGTGATATTTGAATATCAGAAGAATTTTTAAAATCTGAATATCTGTTTATCTTGGGGCAATTAAGGTTATACACACACTTGCATGCAGACACATATACTCTAAGTAGATTATCTATAGAAGTTTGCCAAATACAGAAATAGAAGACTTGGAAAAACAGTATTACATGTATGGTTCTTCTTGCAGTCCAACGAAGCAGAGTTCTTGGAACAGATTTTCTTAGAATTCTTGTGGTGGGCAGTGTGGTTGGTAGTATCTTAACTATCTTGTTAAATGATTTTTCTTGTTTGCTGCTGGCATGGACTTTTTCTTTTTGGACCCTGGGCTTTAGATGTTCCCTCTTTAATACTTCCGGGAAAGGGGATGGTTTTGAGTTTTTCTCAGCTACCACAACTTTATATTTAAGCAATCGTGATTCAGGGACCTTGGTACATCTTTCGTTGCAAAGTTTGTTTGGTTTTATATAAAGAGTTTGTGTTTCTTCTTTGTAATGTGCATATGTTACTAAATGTCGTTTTTTATTATTGTTATTATTTCCTTTCAATCTCTGACAATACTGGCCCTCTAATTCTGATTCCTCCCCAGCCTCTGAATTGAGACACATTAAAGTGTTATTCTGCCTGGAAGGAAAAGTGAGTTTGGTTATGTATTCCTCATCTTCATTCGGCATTTTGCGGTTAAGAATTCTTGGATACGGTGACAGCACTGCTTCAGCGTTTTCCTCTACCATCAATTTATAGATGTTATCACACTCCTTTCTGTCAAGGGACTTCATTTTTAGTGTCCTTTCAAAGCAAGCATTTGATCGAGTTATTTTTGATTTACCACTCCAAATATGTTGGTCTTGAATCTCTGTTTTAAAATCAAAATTTTCTGCTCGAGGAAGTTGCACAAAACCATGTCCTTCCCTTTGTTTCCTAAGCACTGTATCTGTCAGTCTTTCTGATGATTTATTTAATGGAATCGCCTGGCTATTTTTGTTGGAAGAAGGTTGTACTTTAGATAAACTCAGTGTTTTAGCTGCTTCAGGGCAATAATATATTTTCTGTTCCCTAATTTTTGATGGATTTTTTTCAATATTCTGTAAGGAAAAATGTTCCTTTTCCTCCTTTCTGGTCAACTCTGTTTCTACAAGTCTATCTTCAAGAACTTTTTGTGAAGTGGTTTTTTGAGCAGTTTTTGAATATTTATTTTGCTTTTCTGATTGCTTCTTCACAAATTGATTTTCATCTCTTAAAGACAAATCTCGCTTTATACATTTTAATGGTGTGGAACTAGAATTAATCAAATTTATGTGCTGGCTGATGCCCTCTAATTGCCTTTTTGTGATTAGTCCTGATTTTGACAGTTTCTCTATAAAAAGGCTCTGGAGGTGTTTGCTTAAATCAGCTTTTAGATTTAAGAGTTCATTTTCTGATAAAGCTGTAAGATATTTTTGTAGGGATTTATTTAAAGGATATTTCATGTTTACTTCAAGCCTTTTAGCAAAACTCCCCCTTGAAATATCTTGTCCTAATTTGTTAAAAGACATAGAGGGGCTTTTAGCTCTTAGAAAAGCTACATTTGAGTGCATAGACTTAGATTCTGCTTCTTTAAATAAACTGTTTTCTGAAAAATTTTTTAGGAAATAGTTTTGGAGAATTTCATTTAAAAAAGACCTTAGATTTATTTCCAAATGTTTATCTATGAAATGATGATTAAAGTTGTTTACAAAAGACATGATTTCTTTTACAGTTCCTGAATATTTCTCTAGAAAAATATTTTGCCCTTTTGGTTCTGCTTTCTCATTCATCAAACACAGATTTTGGTAGATTTTTGGTAAGTCCTCCTTGGTGATATGTCCTGATTCTGAAAGTCTTTCTACAAGGTAATGCTGAATATGTTTACTTAATTCAGATTTTAAATGTTTTATTTCTGACTCTGAGAGTTCTTCTAGAAATACACGTAGGTTTGGACTTAAAATAGGTTTTCCATCTAGTTTGTCTATTTTATCAAAATCCTCTTTGATTTCTTCAGGGTCTTCAGTCTTGTTTGGAAAAGGATGTTCAATTAGTCTTTGTAATTCTTTGTCAGTTTGTCTGCTTTCAGCCTTACTATATTTGAAAAAAACATTAAATATGTTTTTCAAAAAGGATTTTAACATTATTACATCAGAGTCATTGAGTTTACCTATTAACGAGTCACTTAAATTTTCTAAAGTAGAACTTAGATCATTTTCTTTTCTATCAAGTCTCTGACTACTACTTGGCAAATCTGTTTTTTTATCTGGTGTTGACTGATATTCTGAATCTTGTGGGGATGTATTTTGACTTTTGTCTATGAATTCAACTCTATTAAAAGAAGTGGTTTCTTTGGGAATGATGGGTATATTCGGCTCTGAAAGACGTTCTGTTTTGTTTTTGATTTCCGAATAATACTCTATGGAATCCTTTGGCTTTTCTTTAGCAAAGGCTGTCTCTGTATCCAGCAAAAAACTCTTCTGGTATTCTTTATCTAATTCTATTACTTTGATTACCCCAGAATCTAAAAGAGTATCTACAGGAAATGCTTGTATTATCTGGCTTGTAACAGATTTGGCTGGAGAAAATTCTGTTTCATTATTGTTTTCTTCGTAGTGAACTAGAACACTGGAAGACAAACTCTCCCAAGCTGTGGGTAACAGACCCTGTGAGTTCATCTGTGTCTCACTTGATTTTTTTCACTCCTGTCCCCAATTCTGAGAAGATCGGTGCAGTGAATATTTGCTTTATAATATAATCATGTATAAAGCTATTCAAATCTGGTGTGGAGCTAGATACTTCACTATCTAAATGTTTCTTTTTGAAACTACACTTTTTTTTAATTGGAAAATCTATGTCACCAACATCTAAGTGTTTTTCAGAGACAAATTCCCTTTCTACCTCTGGGGAATTTCCTGGTACACCTTCTGAATGTGAATCTGCAGGACTACCTTGACTTATTTGACTTAAAAGAGACTTTGAATTTAGAATATCTCTTTCTGAAAGCCAGGTATTTAAACCTTGAATTTTTTCAAATACTTGGTCTTCCAAACTACTTGGTCGTTCATCTCGAACACCCAGAAGTGGAAAACTATGACTCTTCTTTCTTGCTTCAGTGTCCATAGGAACTTCTGGCGTAGAAAATAATTGATCTGAAAGGGCTTGCAGATTTTTGCTTAAAATTGACTTGAGCACCATTGACTGTTTTAAATTTTCTATGTGGGAAGTAAGACTTAATGATTTTGAGAGGCGACACTTATTTGCATTTACTTTTCCAGTCGTCGATGATTCTCCCTCAAAGTTTGGCAAAGATACATTAGGTAGTCTTTCCGGTAACTTATTAGTATCTAAAGTCTTTGTTGTGGTGATACTGGGATGATGCGCTAGATTATTCTTAGCGTCTAGTGTCTTTATTGTTATGATCCCAGGATCACGGGCTAACTTATTCTTAGTGTCTAAAGCCTTTACTGCGATGGTATCAAGATCACGAGGCCAGGTTTTGCCAGCAGCTCTTTCAGTTTTTGAATGTGTTGGATAAGGAGGATCTTGGTCTTCATGCTCTATAACCTCTGCACTGAAAGTATTTCTACATTTGAACATATCTTGGTCTTTCCTTTTTCTGACTGACATTTTGTTGTTTATATTCCTCAGAAAGGGATCAAAACTGTTCTCGATATTGAATTTCTGGAACTGTAACATTAAAAAAAAAAGGTAAGAAATTGTATAGCATTTATTTTGAATTTATAATAAAATTTCTAGCTAATTTTCTGTGAGCAATAAGTCAACTTATCTATTCATCTTCCTGCCTTTTACAAAGAGAAAACCAACTTTAATTATTTTACAACATTTGAAATTGGAATAATAATGAGAATTTTCATGCAAATTTAAAAAATTTCTAATTCTGGTACTATTTTGTGTTAAAGAGCTTTTTGCTACCTGGAATATTTTTAAATACCTAAAAGAGACTCAAAGTAGTTTTTTTTTTTAAGAACTCAATTTCCAGTGGTAGCTGCATTTGGTTAGACAATGGCTAATATCAGGATCTAAGTCCTACCCGTATATTTTAGTAGCGATGTAGGAAATTTTTAAAAATGCAAAGCAAGTAGTAGATATTCCATTAGAAGTATCATAAATATTCTCTCTTGACTGACTTGAGAGGATAGATCACCTGCCTTTACGTCTGAGAGTTCCAACAATGATGAGTTCCACCCAGTCCTTTGTATGTTACAGTAGAATCTTGCTTTCTGATAAATATTATATATGCCTCAGAAATGGTAGAGAACAGTACAAATATTTCTAGATTACAGTGAAATTTCAGTGTAATATCTAAAGGCAGTTTTGTGGCTCTGGGATCAGGCTATTCTATGATTGAAAGAGCCTTCAAACTGAAGTCTCTTATTCAAACTCTTTGTTAATACAACTTTTACATTATCCAACTGAAAAAAGCAAAATGTGAAATAATCAGCCTAGTGTTTTAGTTTATATGATTTTCAAATGTTAGTTGATGTCTAGGTGACAGCATAAGAATCCCTGGGTTTTTTCAGAAATACAGATTCCCAGGGTCCATTTCCAGACTGAGATTCACTTGATCAGAGATGGGACCTGGGAATATGTATTTTTGTAAAGATAAGTGAATGTTTCTAATAGGTAGTCTGGTTTTGGAACCACTGAATTACACAAAGTATTAGAGAAACCTAGTATTTGAGTATAACTGATATTGAGATAAGAAAATTCAGGACTCACCTGATATTTTGGTTTGAATTCTATATATTCTGGTCTGAAAGATGGTGAAATCTATTGTTTTGGTGAAAATACCACCTTGTAGAAAGAGAAATTTTAATTTTAGACTGCTTGTAATGAAAGGATATTTCCTAAGATAATTTTATTCATTCAATAGTTAATAAAGATATTAAACATTTTAAAAACTAAGTATTTTTCTCATAACTACTATAATTTTCCAATCATCAAAGAAATGTACATATGTAATCTTAGCTTCCTTGATACAATATTCACCCTATTGAATATGTAAAATCAAAATAATGCACAGCAACTTCAAGCAGAAACAAAAGTAGAAAAGAAAGAATTGTTAGAACAAATGTGATCTAATTTTAAAAGGTTGTGAAACGCTTTAGATAATAAATGGCGTCTGGTATTATACTGAGATAGCATTTTCAGTAATTCTTCACGTGTAATCATTCAATGGGTACTTACTGCCTAAGGAAATATTTGGTGCTAAATCAAGGTGTGTAGGAAGAATTACAGAATCACAGAACCACTGAATTTTTAGAGATGGAAGACACTTTAGAGAAAATCAAGTCCTACTCTTTGTTTTACACAAGAATCTGCAGTTGAAGTTATTGCCCTAAATTATCCAGATGATTACTAGCCTAAATCCTAGGCATCCTAAATTTTCATCTGGTGCTCCTACTACCGACACAAGACTGCAGTGGAGGAGACTGGTGCTTTGGAAGCATCATAATGTGCACCCACACTTCTAACTCTAAAGAAAATCTGACATCAACTTTTTGCAGAACACTTTTGGTACTATAAACCACTTTCCTATATATTATATCCTTTAGTCCGTAGAAGTTCTATTATATATCAAGTTAGTAAAAGTAATGATTCAATGAATGACGCTTTCATAAGAAATATTTTTGGTTTAAGTGTTCATTAATATTAAGCAGTTAATAACATGACTTTATTCTTAAATCTTCAGCAGCTTCCCATGTTTTGTTATGCATTGTCCTCACATACTGACTAAATTATTTCTGCAAGTATCTCAATATTCCCCACTATAGTTTCTCTCCTCCAGGCAAAGGTGTCTAACTCTGAATTCTTGAAACATATCTCATACTTTTCCACACCTGTTTTTTTGCTCATTTTGTTTTTCTTTGCTTGAATTTCCTAAAATCTCCCTTTAAAAGTTTAAATTCTAACACTTGAAAATTCATTGGTTTAAATGAATTCAGTAGAAAATTAAAATTAAAAATAAATGAAATATGTATGACAAGGAAGTGGAAAAATAAATAGTAGAAAAAAATACACTCTCATTTTTGTAAAAAACACATAACAATTAAAAACTCCCCCCTAATATAACCATGGAAAAATATATGAAAGGATACAAAATGCTAACATTGTTTTCTCAAAAGAAAGGAAAGAGGACACTGTTAACTTTTACTCTGTTTAATTCTGTATTATTGATTAGATGAACATAAAATACTCTTGTGAATAAAAAATCCAGAACAATTATATTAGAGGGAGATGCTCAGGATGCTAGGGAAAAAACAGTAAAACAAGCCAATACAGGAGATTCAAGATGGTAGGCTGAACATATGGGTTTAGTTTCTCCTACCTCCCAAGGGTCCAGTAAATTAACAGGAAATAATACTTCAAAAAGACAAATATGATGACAAATTGTCATTATAATGGAGTAATCACAATTCAAGCATATAAAAGCAGAGTCAGGCGGCCATTGAGGATCTGGTCTCAGACATGGCTCTGCACCACCCAAAATGTGAACTTTCTTTGTACTAGACCCAACGACACCACTAGCCATATTCAGAACAACACTTGCCAGCTGCAAACTTATGGTCTTAAGGTCTCCTCTTGTTACTATGCAACCATTTCAGACCCCAACCAATCCTTACTTTAACAAGCACCCTTACTTTTTGTCAGTTCTAATCATAATTCTTGATTAACAACTCATGTAACTAGCTGTAACCTTGAAGTTTTTGCCTTTATAAGCCTCCCCCATCTTGCAGTCTCGCAGAATACAATTCAAGCACTTGAAACTGTGTCTTCCAGGCTGCAGTCCTAACGAACCCCAAATAAACACCGTTTTATTTCAATCAGGTCTCTGTTTCTAAAATTTTGGTTAACAAATCCCATGGCAATACTGGAAATCAGTAAGGTGAGACACCAAGATCAAGAAAGCTGAGAAAATTCAGAAAATATGAAAGCAGATGAGACTGACTTAAAAAAAAAAAACCCATCAATAAAAGCAGAGCTTTAAACAACAGAAATCAGGAAGACCTGAGAAGCAATAAATTCAAGGTCAGCATATACAAAGAAAACCAGATGATGCTGCAATCATCATAGTTATTAATTAAAAAGCTGCATTTGGAACAGCTGGACCACTTGGACCCTTCTTGATCACTGTTCTCTTTCTCAGTGCAAACAGCATGCATTGCTGGCAGCATTGTCTTTCCCCAGTCACTCACCAAACACCAACAAAACACAACAAAATAAAATAAAAAACAACACCTGCTCTCTAAAGAAAATGTGTAATCTGCCTAGGTGGAGATCCTATGTGGGCTCTGAGTCTTGGCAGAGAAGCTTGTTGGCACTCACATTTCCACATCAGGTAACTGAAGGGGGATAAAAAGAAAGGAAGTTCTACCCAGGAGAGAAATACATTCATTCTTTGGAAATGTTTTAAGATCTCCAGCCATCCTGCCTGTCTTCTTCCATCCCCACACACCCTCAGGGAAGCCTGCCTGTCAAACAGAGCATACCTATTACAACCAATGTATTCCTTTATTCACAAATATAAACTGAGCCAATAAAGCTCACCAGATATATGAGAAAAATCAGTACATGTAAGTGAAGGATCAATAAGAATAAACAGAACTAACCCCAGAGTAAACAAAGTTATTTCTGAGGAATGTGGGGGAAGGATGACCCTTGGAAAAGATTCTAAATAGTATCTTCAGAAATAATTCAAAAGGGTATTGATTTCCACTTAGGTGTATAATAGGCAGTTCCAATTTAATGGATGCATAACAGGATTCTAGATTACCACCCTACTCCACTCTACACTTAAAAAACCCACAAAACATTGGCTTTTCTGTTTTCCCTCATTGTCAGTTCATGGTACCACCAGCTACTGTTAAGCCAGAAATCTGTGTCACTCTTTTCCTCCTCCTACTTTCCACATCTAACCCAGCATTAAGTCCTGTAGCTCCTGCCTTCAAAATAGATCAAGTTTCCAAACACATCCTATCATCAACCCCTCCCTCTACCACTGTAGCACAAGCCACCATCATCTCTCCCCAAATAACAGTCTCTTAGCTAGTCGTCTTGCTCCTGGTGACTGATAGTTATTTTCCCAAAGTACATATTATCTCAAGAATCTTAATTTTTTTAGGGGCAGAAATGACCCTTACTCAAAAAGCTACATTTTCCAGCCTCCTTTAAAGACAGGAGTGGCTGTATGACAAGGTTCTGGCCAACTGCATACAATTGGAAGTTGTTGGGAGAAGCTCCTGAGAGAGTATCTTAAAACAGGGGCAGAATTAAGGAAATAATCCCACTTACCATCACATTAAAAAGAATAAAATACCCAGTAATAAACTTACCTAAGGAGACAAAAGACCTGGACTCTGGAAACTATAAGATGCTGATGAAAGAAACTGAAGACAAAACAAACAGACGGAAAGATATACTGTGTTCTTAGACTGGAAGAATCAATACTGTTAAAATGACCATACTCTCCAAGGCAACATACAGATTCAGTGCAATCCCTATCAAATACCAATAGCATTTTCCACAAAATGGGAACAAATAATTTTAAAATTTGTAAGGAAACACAAAAGACTCCAAATCTTGAGAAAGAAGAACAGAGCTAGAGGATTCAGGCCCTCCGATTAAGACTAGACTGCAAAGCTACAGTAATCAAAACAGAATGGTACTGGTACAAAAACAGACACATAGATCAATGAAACAGGGTAGAAAGCCTAGAAATAAACCCACACAATTGTGGCCAATTAATCTATGACAAAGAAGGCAAGATTATACAATGGAGAAAATAGTGTCTTCAATAGGTGGTGCTAGGAAAACTGGACAGCTACATGTAAAAGAATGAAATTAGAACATTCCCTAATACCACATACAAAAATAAACTCAAAATGGATTAAAGTTCTAAATGTAAGATCAAATATTCTAAAACTCCTAAAGGGAAAGACAGCCAGACACTCTTGGACATAAATCACAGAAATATTTTTTTGGATCAGTCTCTAGAGTAATAGAAATAAAAACAAAAATAAACAAGTGGGACCTAATTAAACTTAAAAGCTTTTATACAGCAAAAGAAGTTATAAACAAAATGAACAGACAAGCTACAGAATGGGAGAAAATACTTGCAAATGATGCTACTGACAGGGGCTTAATTTCCAGAATATTCAAACAGCTCATGCAACTTAATAACAACAAAAAAACCCCTAAACAACTCAATCAAAAAATGGGCAGAAGACCTAAACAGACATTTCTCCAATGAAGACATACAGATGGCAAATAGGCACATGAAAAGAGGCTCAACATGGCTAATTATTAGAGAAATGCAAATCAAAACTACAATGAGGTATCACCTCACACCAGTTAGAATGGTCATCATCAAAAAGTCTACAAATAGTAAATGCTGAATAGTGTGTGGGAAAAAAAGGAAACCTCCTACACTGCTGGTTGGAGTGTAAATTGGTGTTCTCTATGGAGAACAGAATGGAGGTTCCTTAAAAAACTAAAAATAGAGTTACCATATGATCCAGTAATCCCACTCCTGGTCATAGATCTGGAGGAAACTCTAATTCAAAAAGATATGTCCACCCCAATGTTCATAGCAGCACTATTTACAATTGCTAAGATATGAAAGCAACCTAAATATTCATTGACAGATGAATGGATAAAGAAGATACGGTATATACATACAATGGAACACTACTCAGCCATATAAAGGAATGAAATAATGACATTTGCAGCAATGTGGATGGACCTAGAGATTATCATACTAAGTTAAGTAAGTCAGACAGACAAAGAGAACTATT